CACATGGAAGCAGGAAACTCCCAAGCCCCTCTGGAAGGAGCTCCCTCCCACATCAATATTCACCTTCTCTCCCACTTTCTTAAGCAACCGGGTCACAACTGGGCCAGGGGTTCCCTGCTGCGTTAGGGATCAGAGCATTGTTTGCAAGCATCCATCTGGGATTTCTTGCTTCCCCATCCACTTGGTAACAGGCTGCCCTATTTCTGAGTCAGATGGCCTGCAAATCCATGGATGGTTGAGCTGAGCTGCAGAGGTTCACGAGGAGAGATGGGAGGACTGGGAATGCAGTGCAACATGCCTGAAGCTTACAGAGGTGTCAGAATGGGTTGGTTTCAGGGAGGATTAAGTCAGTAGGATCCGAGTCCTGGTAAACAGCAAGTAGCACATCATACAGGTGGCTACTACCAGCTGCAGGCACAGGAGGTGGACCTGTCAGCCACATTTTCATTCTACCATGGTGTCACCCAGAGCACAGGCTGCTGCTGGCACTCACCCATGTGTGGACTAGCTAGGGGATATGTACCATGGCAATGACTCTTTAGGATGAGAGGCTGAAGGCTTTAGAGAACTGGGGATCAAGCTGTGTGTAGTGTGAAGTCAGCCCCAGGCTGATCTGGTATGAGAGTAGTACTGTAGGCTGTGGATGAGAATGAGAAATCCCTTTGGAATAGATGGGTGTCCAGCACAGAGTGAGCTCAGAGGATGGTCTCTTTGCAATGTTAACCGGTGTCCCAAAATACTTCCCCTTCCCAGATTTTCAAATAACTCAGCACCCCCAGGCAGAGCCTAGCATTGAACTTTCTTCTCCCAGCATCTCCCATGATGACATGTATGGAGCACTTATGACAGTGATAGTACCACAATTTTGAAAGCCTAGTCCTGTAGGCATGGAAACAGACAGTAGATGAAATGCAGCCAGTTCTGGGGTAAAACTCAGGGACAAGGCACTGCAATATAACATACCCTGTTAGAACCAGGAGAGAGGATATTAACTGGATGTTAGGAGGGCATGTAAAGAAGAACACTACATGCAGTTGAATCAGAAGGAGGAAAACAATAGTCAGCCAAATTGGAAAGAGTCATTCCCCAAGGGCAATATAAACTTCCCTGTTCTCGCAGGTAGAGATGCACCTTACAGGCTAAGTGAATCAGACATACATAAGCTGTAGCTAACAAAAGCTCACTTCATCAGATGCTATGTTCTTAATAGGAAATGCCAGGGAATCAAGTTGTTGGACACAAGTAGTATCCTCTCATGAGAGAGGGGAAAAGGAACGGTTGAAGCTGCAAGGTGGAGTTGACTTGGAGGTTAATTCTTTTATTGCTTCCCTGAATGTACAGATAAAAACAGTGAGCCTAACACTTGAGCAAACCTGCCAAGCTTCATTAGGCTGCACCTTGTATAGCCAGAGGCTGTCATTGACAAGTGAGCCACCCTGATGGGATCAGCTCCACTGTGCTCTCTCACAGCCGCTGCTCAGTGCTGGAAGCAAACCTTTCCTTGAATCAGCTGAAGCCCAGCCAGGATCTGGGCTTGATCTGAAAATGTCTCTACCATGAGACTTCTGCAAAGTTTTCAGCCTCTGACTAGTGGACTGGAGCAATTTATACCAGAGACTCCAGGTCTCACTTGAGCTTGAATTGCACCAGAGCAATCCCATTGACTGCAGTAGTGTTACTCTGGATTTGCACTGCTGGGAGCAAAGGCAAAGCCAGACCCTGTGTATTAAGAGTGTTTGGCTGGGCCCACTTGACAAACCAGACAATTGGACAGTTCCCTGAGAGATCTGGCTGCAAGATCTTGCTTTGCTGTCCCTTCATGTCATTGCCCAGCTGGTGCTCCTCTGCAGCTGTTTCGCCGCTGGACAGCATCATCCAAGCTGCTTGGAGTTTGGAATGGTTCAAGGCAATGATTCTCAACCATGGTGCCACAGCACCCTGGGGTGATGTGAGATTAAGGGTGCTGCACAATATTAGCACTGTCAGGTGTGCAAACACCTATGCATGATTCACAAGATAAACCCAGAGATTTCATATAGGAATCCAGAATATCAAAATGATCCAGATGTCACAGTCTTTGCAACAGAAGAATTTCTCCATTATTTTTATGTAAGCAAGAAACAAGTGAGAGCCAAGAGCTGGCATATTTTTCCAAGCGGTGGCTTGAGTCTAAAGAGGAATGCCTAGAGTCTAAAAATATTGAGGACCACTGGGATAGAGGCTGGGGCATCATGGCTGGACCAGGGAAGAGATGGTTCTTTTCAGGGGCAGGCTGGATGTAGGAGGTATAACTGTTACCTCCTTGGATTTCCATATGCCTCTGGTTTCTCTGTCCCCTTCTTTGTGATCCCTCTGGACCTCAGTCAGAGGCTGGTAGGATAACCCGGATTTAAAGGTATAGGCAGGGTTCAAATGCAAGGGGTGGATCTAGGTAATAAAGGCCCTGATTTGCTCCCTAGAAAGCTAGCAGTGCTCAGAAAGCTGACATTCACATGGCAGAGCATTTTCAAAAGAGCCTTACCCTGGGAAGCTGGCATGGTCCAAGAACAGCATCTTCCTCTGCATGCCAGATATGTTAGGATCTCTGCAGATTGCCCCAGGACCCAGCACTGCTGGCTGGAACATGTAGCATCAACACATCCTTGGGGGAATGTTTCAAGGCCTTCAGTACTGCTTGGTGTGGCAGAAAGCTTTGTTTTTGGGATCTTGTAGACTGGCCAAGAAGCAGGGCTACCTGCCCTGAAACGTGCTCTGTTCGTGCTCTGGTGCAATGCCCTGGGGAACCCCACAGGACAGTTCTCCCAGAACATTTTGCTTTGTTTTTCAAACCCAATGTTTTTCAACTCTGTTTAGCAGAGTTTGTGCTAAACACATGAGCTCCTGGGTGCTCTGAGATCCTTGCCTACAAAGAACGGTAAAGGGTGAGGGGGTAACAGGTGCTAACATACTGATGCTGGCTTTACCCACAAGTACAGCTTTACCCAAGAGCAATGAAGATGCGGTAGCATGGCTGCTAGCATGCCCTAACCACCACAATGCAAACCCTCCAGAGACCTTGATGTACATGCCACTTACTAGCACATAACTGCACCTTCATTGCCCGTGTTAACTGTTCTAGGTCAGTGAAGCTTGCACCTAGACATGTACCTATGACTTCCTTTTGCCAGGTAGATATGCACTTAACCTAGATGCCCCATGTATGTCAATCCCAGCAGTCGGCTCTGCTTATCTGCCTGTTGTGACAACTAAGTCCTGTTCTGTGTGACTTTTTGGGACTTCTTCCTTACTTCTTTGCCAAGCATGGACATTGGAGGTCCCATTGACACTTCCACTGAGTCAGGAGCTTGTGCTCACTTTCTTGGCTTAAATCCATCTTACCTCTGACCGGGTGCAAGTGTCAATGGCCAGTCTTCAACCCCTCTCTGGAAGTGGCTGAACAGTTCCTGTCAATATATAGTCTGACTGTTTGGGAGTGACAGGTGTTGAATAAGCACAAAGTGCCAGATCCTAAGCAGCTGCCAACTGGCATAGCTCCACTGCGTTTGCTCTTTCAGAAGCTGGCCTGAATGAGTGTGACTGGAGTGTGGAGTCCAAGGATGGAGAGGGGAGGCTCTACCTGTTTTCTGTCTCTTGAATGACAGATGTTTACATTGGAAAAAGACCAGGTAGATCATCTTGCCTGACATCCTGGGACCCAGGCAGGATTCTTCCCAACAGTCAGTTTCCCAATGAGTCATCCCATCTGGTTTGCAAGTTTCTCTGCATTTCCACAGATCTGGCTGCCCAGAAATATCTCCTAGTCTTTTCATTTGCTTACCTTCATAGTT